TACATGTTCTTTCCGATGGAGTTTCATCACCATACACTTCGGATAATAAGCGATGCGCTTCAGCTGCGGTTTTCTTGAGGCCGAAGTAGTGAAGAAGCATATGTCGGAAAAACAGCGATTATCGCGATTCATTTTCAATCGATTGGAAAATGTCTTTGGCGTCGAGAAATCTAACCTGTGAGGATTGAATCACTTTCAGCGATGTTCTAAACTACAAAAAACATATAACTTCATCGTCGAAACTCGTTAACGTTGGAGCCAGCACCCTCTAGTAGCGAACGGCAGAAATTAAGTTCAACACCTAATATTAGAATTAATTATCCTACACCATTCTCCTTGTTTACGTAATGACTTTCCACATAAAGCAACTCCCACTCCACCTCCCCCCTGCTTGGGGGGAGGGGCACTTCCACATGGAGCAACTTTCTAAGTTTTGTTGGAGATCACTCAGGGTCACGATTTCGATAGTCGCTTTGTGTGGAAGTCGTGAGCCCCCAAGCAGAGAGGGAAGTGGGATGGTTTCGCGTTAAAAAAACTTTACTCCAAAAAAAAACCCATTTTTTGGTGCGAGTGTTAGGGTTAGGTTTTTTAACGCGAAACGACATGGGTTTACAACCTTCCACGCGAAATGAGGTCCACCTCACACAAGAAAATGGGTTGTGTTAGGCCTCGTCTACAATCAAATCGGCTGACGCTTGTCGTTAATAAAAGATGGAACCTGACCAATCCAAACGACGCCCAGTAACCGACGTCGACAGCCGACACGAAAAATGAAGGTTATGCGCATGCAAACAACATACGACAACGTCTCCAGACTGATTGTAGACCAGTCCTTAGGATTTTTTTAACGCGAAACGAGTTTCACCTCACCACTGGATCCACACATACACTTTTCAACACAAAACGAGATTCTATATAGGTTTACAGCTTTCGTTATAGCAGAAATTATACATTATTTAAAAAGTTTTTTTGTTAATTACTTTTTAACGGACAGCGAGCGACGGCTAAAAGTTGTTGGAGGTTATTCAGGATAATGACCTTGACAACATACGTCAAGGTCAAGGTTGTCCCCCTTGCGGGTGCTCTCCTTTTCTGCAGTTTTATCAAAAAGTTTATTCGCTAATACGGATCGACACAGATTGAGAGAGGAGACGGACTGCCAGTATCACAGAGTCAAATTTTATTTACAATAGGTATATATTATAAATCAATGAAGCTTGTTGGCGGCTAGATGTTGATGCCTAGGGAC